TATCCGTGATTAACAGATATTTGAAAAGGATGTCAAAGAAACCCAATGGGTATTTTAAAATAAATTGTTTCAAATGTTCTCTCTACAAAAAATAAATAAATATTTGAGGTGAGATATAGATATAGATATATAGATGCTAATTAGCCTTATTTGATCATTCCACAATGTATACATGCAATGAAACATTACATTATACCATATAAATATAGAAAGTAACCATTTCTTTCTTTCTTTTTTTTTGAGATAGAGTCTTGCTCTGTCACCCAAGCTGGAGTGCAGTGGTATGATATTGGCTCACTGTAACCTCCTGAGTTCAAGCAATTCTCCTGCCTTAGCCTTTTGAGTAGCTGGGATTACAAGTGTACACCACCATGCCTCACTGATTTTTTGTATTTTTAGTAAAGATGGGGTTTTACCATGTTGGCCAGGCTGGTCTCAAACTCTTGATTTCAAGTGATTTGCCCGTATTAGCCTCTCAAGTGCTAGGATTCCAGGTCGGAGCCACTATTCGGCCAGAAAATAACAATTTTTAGCAAACCAAATCCAGCAGCATATCAAAAAACTAATCCACCACAATCAAGTAGGTGTTATTCCTGTGATGCAAGATTGGTTTAGCATATACAAATCAATCAACGTTATTCATCACATAAACAGAACTAAAGACAAAAAAACACATAATCAACTCAATAGATGCAGAAAAGACTTTGGGTAAAATTCAACATCGCTTCATGTTAAAAACTCCCAACAAACTAGGTATCAAAGGAATATATATCAAGAGCCATTTATAATAAACCACAGCCATTATCATACTGAATAGGCAAAAGCTAGAAGCATTCTTCTTGGTTTAGGTTGGACCTCTCTTACCACTCCTATTTAATATAGTATTTGAATTCCTAGCCAGAGCAATCAAGCAATCAAAAATTAAATAAATAAATAAATAAATGGCATCCAAATAGGAAAAGAGGAAGCCACACTATCCCTGTTTGCAGATGACACGATTCTATATCTAGAAAATCCCACAGTCTCAGCCTCAAATCTACTTATGCTAATAAACAACTTTAGGAAATTTTAGGATACAAAATCAACATACAAAAATCACTAGCATTCTTAACACCAAAAACAGTCAAGCTGGGAGCCAAATCAGAATGCGATGTCATTCACAACAGTCACAAAATGAATGAAATACTTAAGAAATGCCACTAAACAGGGAGATGCAGGATCTGTGCAGTGAGAATTACAAAACACTGCTTAAAGAAATCAGAGATGACATAAACAAATAGAAAAAGATTGTATGATCACAGATAGGAAGAATCAATACTGTTTTAAAATGACTATGCTGCCCAGAGCAATTTACAGATAAAATGCCATTCCTATCAAACCACCAATAACTCTTCACAGAACAAGGAAACATTATTTTAAATTTTATATGGAACCAAAAAACAAAAAAACCTGAATAGCCAAGGCAATCCTAAACAAAAAGAACAAAGCAAGAGGCATCAAGCTACCTGACTTCAAACTATACTATAGGTCTAAGGTAACCAAAATAGCATGGTATTAGTATAAAAACAGACACACATGCCTACAATCATCTGATCTTTGACAAAGCTGACAAAAAACAAGCAATGGGGAAAGGATACCCTATTCAATAAATGGTTGTGGAATAACTGGCTAGCTATATGCAGAAGACTGAAACTGGATCCCTCCTTATACCATATATAAAAATCAACACAAGATGGATTAAAAACTTAAATGTAAAACCCAAACTATAAAAACCTTGGAAGACAACATATGTAATACCATTCTGCACATAGGAACTGGCAAAGATTTCATGATGAAGATGTCAAAAGCAATTGCAACAAGGGCGAAAATTAACAAATGAGATCTAGTTAAAGAGCTTCTTCACAGCAAAAAGAAACTAGTAACAGAGTAAATAGACAACTTACAAAATCGGAAAAATATTTGCAAACTATGCATCTGACAAGAGTTTAATATCCGGCATCTGTAAGTAACCTAAACAAATTTACAAGAAAAAAACCCCACAAACAACCCCATTAAAAAGAGGGCAAAGGATATGAACAGACATTTTTCAAAAGAAGATAAACATGCAGTTAGCAGCATATTTTTAAAAAGCCCAATATTACTGATTGTCAGATAAATTCAAATCAAAACCACAATGAGAAACCATCTTGTACCAGTCAGGATGGTTAGTATTAAAAAGAAAAAATAATAGACGCTAGCAAGTTCTCAGAGAAAAGGGAGCATTTATACATTGTTGGTGGGAGTGTAAATTAGATCAACCACTGTGGAATGTAATGTGATGATTCCTCAAAGAGCTGAAAACAGAACCACCATTTGACCCAGCAATCCCATTACTGACTATATAACGAAAGGAACATACATCATTCTATCATAAAGACACATGCATGTGTATGTTCATTGCAGCACATTACTGACAATAGCAAAGGCAGGGAATCAACCTAAATGGCCACAAACGGTAGACTAGGTTTTTAAAAATATGCACCATATTTTTAAAAACCATGGAATACTATGCAGCCATGGAAAAGAATTAGATCATGTCCTTTGCATGAACATGGATGGAGCTGGAGGCCATTGTCCTTAGCAAACTAACACAGGAACAGAAAACCCAACCCTCATATTCTCACTTATAAGTGGGAGCTAACTGATGAGAACACCATGGACACAAAGAGGGGAACAACAACACTGAGGCTTACCTGGGGGTAGAGGGTGGGAGGAGGGAGAGGATCAGAAAAAATAATGATTGGGTACTAATACTAGGCTTAGTACCAGGGTGATGAAATACAAACCCTCAAGACATAAGTTTATCTGTTAAACAAACTTGCACATGTGTCACTGAACCTAAAATAAAATAAAAATTTCTTAATAGAAAATAACTATTTGCCAATTAAAAATAAAACAATATAAATACAGAAAATAACTATTTTCCAATTAATAATAACACAAAAAAGAAACAATAGGGAAAGATAATTTTTTCCTTAAATGTTGTTGGGAAAACAGTATGTCCACAGGCAGAAGAATTAAATCGGATCCCTACTTCACATCTTATATAAAAAAGCAACAAAAAAATGAATTAAAGATATAAATGTAAGGCCTTGAGGCATAAAACTGTAAGAGAAAACATACAAATCTTCTTGATGTTGATCTAGGCAGTATGTTTGGGTATGGCACTAAAAGCACAGGCAATAAAAGCAAAAATAGAAAAATGAGATTGTATTAAAAAGTTTTTTCATTGCTGTAAAACAACAGAGTGAGAAAGCAACCTATAGAATTGTGTAAAATATTTATAAACCATATGTCTGATAAGGTTTTGTTATCCAAAGTATCTAAGAAACTGAAACAACTCAATGGTTAAAAAAAATTACAAATAATGAGCAAAATACATGAACAGACCTAAATACATTTATTAAACAAAGGCATGTAAATAAAAAAAAGTATATAAAAGAATGCTCAACATGACTAATCTCAGGGAAATACAATCAAAACCACAATAAAATATCACTTCACATCTCTTAGAATGCCTACTATCAAAAAAGTAGAAGACAACAAATGCTGACAAGATTGTGAAGAAAAGGAAAACCTTGCACATTGTTAGTAAAAATGTAAATTTGTACAGACATTATGGAAAACAATATGAAGTTTCCTCAACAATGGCCTTATGATCTAGCAATTCGACGTTTGGGTACATATGCAAAAAAAATGAAATCAGTATGTTGAAGAGATATCTGCATTCCATGTTTACTGCAGCATTATTCACAATAGCTAATACATGGAAACAAATGTACACCAACAGATGAGGGGATACAGAAAATCTGGTATATACCAAGAGATAGATCTATCTGTCTGTCTAAGTAGATGTATAGGTAAATACAGGTACACAAACAGAGAGATACAATAGAATACTATTTAGCCTTTCAAATGAAGGAAATCCTGCTGTTTGTGACAACATCAAAGAACTTGGAGAACATCATGTTAAGTGGAATAAGCCAAATGCAGAAAGACAAAAACTGCATGATTTATTTGTGTAATATAAAAATGTCAAGCTCATAGGAATAGAGAATAGAATGGTGGTTACCAGGAGTTATGGCGAGGAAGTTATATAAGATAAATAAGTTTGGAAGATCTAATGTACAACCATGTGACTATAGTTAATAATATTGTATCATTAAAAACTTCTAAGAAAGTAGATCTTAAGTGTTCTTTCCCCACCACACACAAATAGTTATGTGAAGTTAAGAATATGTTAATTAGCTTGGTTGTGGTGAATATTTTATAGTATATACATATATCAAGTTGTATACGATGTTCTTTGTCTTAGGATGAGGTTACATGTTAATTAACCAATTGTGAGTCAAAAATATTGTAAGCCGAGAATGCATTTCATACTTCAATAAACCTACAGTGAAGTTGAAAAATCCTAAATAGAGCCATTGCAAGTTAGGGACCATCTGTACCTTCAATATATACAATTTTAAATTGTCAACTCTACCTTACTAAAGTTGTGTTGTGGGGGAGAAGCTGATATTAAAGGAGGAAACAGGAAGAATAAGGATATGTGTACAAAGAATTTAATTTGTTTTTCCAATTATGGTTGTCAACATTAGTACAAACAGTAAAAATAACAAAAAGAGAATAGGAAATTCCATCTCATCCTTCATGACTCAATGCAGTCTCTTCCTAAATTGTAAAGGCTTTTGTGATGACCCTAGATAGATACAGGAATTCTCTTTGCCATAACTTTTCCAACTTTCATACATACCCACTTCCTTGATTGCTCTTTATCATATTTGGCCATGACTATCTCTCCCAGTATTCTGCAAGAGCCCTGAGTAAAAATTGTGCCATTTTTCCTTGAATGTTTAAAACTTAGCACCATATCTAGCATGAAGCAAAAACTCAATAAATGTTAGTTGAAAAAATAAATAAAATGCAAGATTTACTCAATAATTGCTGTTGATACTTACCTGATTTGTAGAGATAGCTTGATCTCTTGGTTGGTTTTCCATTATGATTAGTATTTGTCTCCTACATAATTCACGAAAACAAAACAAATAGATCCATAAAAGAAATTTTAGTATTCAAACATCAACTATTATTTCTATATTTAAAATTAAGAAATTTAAGAATTTAAAAATTTATCATTAGTGTCAATTTACAAGAAATGCACATTTTATTATGTTTACATTACATGTGTTATTTATAGAATTCCAAGTTCACAGTTGTATCAAAAGTTGTACTTAAAACTACCTACACATTTGATGATTTGCTAAGACTTTGGGATTCAGCATATATTTGTACTCCCATCTAACACATCTAAGATTTAATATGGATGCCAATGTCAGATACTGCACACATTACCCCAAAAAGATGAGTAATAAAATTTAGACACTGTTTTTAAAGGATATTTTTTTAAGTTGAGGACATAGCCTTTATAATATTTTGGCCAATATGACATCAAATGTCAAAGCTGTTAAAATTTTCTTTTTTTGACTCTTAGCATATTTAATGTGGCAATTGATGCAGTAAAACAGTGAACTAAGCCCAATGTATATTTGTCAAATGTTCATTCTAAAACTGCTCTATAGAAAAGCAATTGTGATAAATATACTACATTTAGGAGTTATACATAATTTACTGTCTCAATTATTATACATTATAGGACATGGAAAATGATGCCACTTTCAACTCTAGTCATGAAGAATTCTTTTGGAAATGATTTAATAAATTTCTAGTTTATTGAAATCTATTTCAAACCACATTAACTCCCTAGGACAGCTGAGCTAGTTAATACTATATTAATAATGAAACCAACGAGGCATATTTGATTCCTATAACAAGTTAGCTGCTGACAGAAAATCTATTTCATGTCCAAAAGTTATACCCTGAATTTTTGGTGGTATCTTTTCAACAGCAGGTAACTAATCACTGGTCAAAAACTACTAAATCATTTCTAGTACAAGCCCAATCAAAAAAGCTCAACTTTATACTTCCTCTGAAAGCTGCAGATACATACCATGAACTAACCTCTTGTATCTTACATTTAAACAGACTGTTCTAGGGCTATTAAAATGTTATTATGGTGTGACTAACTTCAGAGAATAGAGTTATTTTGTGTGATTACATAAATAATAACATTTTTGTATATCAATATGACCATAAGATTGTATCCCTTTTATTGTGTTTGTATTTGGAGTAAAAGAACTCTTACATACCTCTTCTTTTGAAGGATCCAAAAATGCCTGTGAAAGTCTGGATAAATTTCTTGTGGGTGATTCCTGAGCTGAAATAATTGAACCTTGGCCTGAAATGTTAGTATCTCCTAGAGAAAGAAGAGATAACTTTAAACATGAGAAGCTGATGTTGCTGGGACAAGGGTTAATATTAGTTTACAGTATTACCCCAACCTTCTCCCTGCTCAGCTGCCACAGTGACTAGAGTTGCCACAATCAGGGATTTATTTGAGTCAAGGAAATATATCCAAAAATAAGATGACTTTTTTGATGTTTACTGCCTACAAATTTCCAATGGTTCCCATTGCCTTCAAAGACAAGTCTGAAATCCTAATTTATTTAATGTTTTTATGCCAGCTCAATCTTTTGCTGTAACCACAGCCCACTGCTAGAACTAAATGTTTGCATTTCATTAAGTAGACAACGAAAAACTATTTGAATAGTGAAATAAACAAAGCCGTGTTTTAGGAATATTGTTTACATAAACAAATATATAGTGAGTAAAATAGAGGAAGATGAAATTGGAGGAAGGATACTGCAATAGAGAAGAATGGAGAAAAACAAGGGTAGAAGCAATGAGAATGGAAAAGAGTGAAGGTCAAGATAAATCAAGAAAGTAGATTAGACAGAAAGTGTGAACTTTTAGATGCAAAACTTAGGAGGAAGAGTCCAAGACAACTCAGGTTTTGTGCCTGGGTGAAAATAAAAGGGTCAGGAAACTGATGATGAATTTAGTTTTGTATTAAATTTGAAGTGATCTTTAGCTACTGGAAGAAGCTCTCTTGTATTTTCTGTATGCATATTTCAGACATGCATGTGAGTATATTTAGTGACTTGCATAAACATAAGGCACACAAATCTTGGGTAATGCATATTTCATTTAAAGAGAAATGGGAAACGAAATGTACCGTTTGTTGAAATATGTAAACAATCTTGGGTATAATTCTCTGTATTCCAATCTGCTGGAGCTAGTATGTCAGCATCTTTATCTATAACTACAAACAGCCACAGCAAGACCCTATCTTTTCCACACTTTGCAAATTTTGAAAGGACATTCATCCAGCGCTCACTCAAATATACGGGCTAATTATAATATCTATATTCATAGAAAATTATATCATCCTTTTTTAAAAAAGCATATTTTTATAATCAGATAAAACTAAAAATATATAACTATAATTGTATAATTAACAGAAAAATTATGAATATTGTTCATTTTCTTACCTCTATCATTGACAATACTTGAGGTTTTAGATATCATCCCATCTCTCTACATGGTGCCACATTAAAGAAAAAGTACATTAGTAACTGTGCTTCTAAAAGAGGTTCTGCTTTCTATCAATTAACCAATGAATACAGATGTTTTTCTTCTTTTATCCTGTAACTCATAAAAATTGTTTAAGTATAATACATATTATTACCCTCCTTTCCATATAATCTCAAATTTAACTAGTTAAAAACTGAGTTCAATATGTAGCAATGTATAAACTTACTTCTCCAGTCTTCCCTATTTTGCCTAAAGGCATGGAAATACATACATGCTATGGTTAGTTCTAAAAAGTTTAGACTCATTCAGTTTGTCTCAGAGAAATCCAATCTAATTCATTTAGACCCAGTCAAAACCAGTGTAATCCTTGTTGAAAACACTGTTTAGGACCAAAGTAAAATTCATCTTTTCAGGATCATTTTATTGGAATAATATTTTTCCGTGTCTGTCGCCTCACTGGACAATGAGTTTTTAAGAGGAGCAATTATGTATTATTATTCTTTTTATCTTATAGTACCCAATTTCCTTGTTTTCCATTATTCTAGCTTAGTACAACACCTGGTCCATAGTATATGCTCAATAAACACAAGCTATCATTACTATTATTACCGCCAAATGTTTGTTTGAATTATTTTCTGCTAAAATTCGTAGTGCGCTTGGCACAAAGCTAACTCACTACTTTCTCTGCCAGGAAAATGGATCAGGTTTCATGAACAAAAATTTCCCTAACCAATCAGTACTATGCTGCTGAAGGAGAGAGCTCATGGAAATAAAAGTTGAGTAGATAAATTAATAAACACAACACTAAACTTTAAAGCATAATTTTGTACCTTTTGATTTACACCATTATACTGCACATTTTCCTGAACAACAGAAGTTGAGGTTTTTTAAATAAAATTCTCTGAACTATTTTGATTGTGATGACCAGCAGTTGCTGTATTTCCTAAAAGTAAACAAAACAGAGAGAAACTCCAGTATTTTTTTTTCAACAGCTTTAGGAATCTACAATAAAAGTGCAATAAATTGTACCTATTTAATTATTTAGTTGATTTTGAAATATGAATCAAACTCTAAAATCATCACTGTATACAAGATACCATTTCTATTAACCCCTGAAGTTTTCTCATGCAACTTTGTAATCTATCTATCTATATGTCCTCATAATCCAACAACGCTGATCTGTACCTCTAACTCAAGATTAGTTTGCGCTTTCCAGAATTTCATATTTCCCTGGCTTTTTTCACTCATCACAACATTGTCACATATATCAATGGTATATTTTTTATTTTTTATTTCTGAGAAGAATTCTATTATATGGCTATTTCATAATTTTGTATACACATATCTATTTATGGACATTTTGATTGTTTCCAGTATTTATAAATAAATATTTATCTATTTTGTTTATATTATTTTATTAATTTTATTATAAATAAATATAATTTTTATTTTACTCTAAATAAAATTTATAAATAAAAATTTCTATAAACTTTCATGTATAGGTCCTATGTGGACATATTTTTTTTTCATTTTTATTGGGTAAATACCTAGTAGCTGAATGAATGGTCACGTGGTAGGTTTAACTTAAAAAATAAAATGTCAAACCAGTTTTTCAATGTGATTGTACCATTTTACATATCAATGAGCAGTGCATCAGGGTTGCAGTTCTTCCACATCCTTACCAATACTTAGTAAACAGAAGAAAAATAAAGATCAAAGTAAAAATTTTAAAAAAGTAAAAAGAGAGAGAAAAATGAAATAAAAAACTGGCTCTTTAAGATGTTTAGTAAGTAGTAAGTCAAAAACAAATAAGATCACAAATCAGTAAAATAGAATCTACAGATAATTACTAAATGAAATAATAAATACATGAAAAATGTTTGCCAATAAATTTGAAAATATATACAAGAAACAAATTCCCTGAAAAATCCCAATGACTACATTTTATCACAAAGAAGTAGATAATATGAAGAGCCCTGTAGCAAAGAAATTAAGTAGGAAGTTTAAACTTTTCCACAAAAAAGCTACGGACTAAAGAGACTTCACCTCTGCATTGTGCTAAATATGTAAGCAAGAAATTATGCTAATTCTACACAACACTTCCAAAAAATTAAAAAAGAGTGAACATTTTCTATCTCACACTTTTACATCAGAATCACTTTGATACAAAATATCATTACAGATATTATAATAAATTAAAATTTTTTTCAATTCCCCCATGAACAAATATGCAAGAATAATAAACAAAACAAATTATAAATATCATGTATAATATGTAATATACTGACAATTACATAAATAACATAGTAATCATAATATAATTAAAAATAATATAATAAATATAATATAGTATCCTAGTACATATGTATCACATTTCCTTATGTTTTGGAACAATATTAAGAGGTACACAATCACCATTGCTGTTCAACATTGTACTGAAGGTCCTAGACAGAGAGAAATAAATGAAAAGGGAATCCCAACTAAATAGCAGCAAGCTATTTTGTAGAAATTGACAAGTTTTTAAAATTTGTATAGAAAGCAAAGGCTCTAGAATAACGAAGTCAACCTGTCATAACAACAAATGTTTGGATAACTCAAACCACTGAATTTTGAAACTTATTTTAAAGCCACAATAATAAAGAAAATGAGGTATTTGCATAAATACAGATAAATGCATCAATCTGTGATCACTTTATATTTTCAAAGTTGCCAAAGCAACTAGATTTGTACAAGATAAGTTAGAATCCTCCTGTTTTCCCAGGTAGCAAGAAGTGCTATCAAACACCACTAGGATCATGTCAGAAACACCATTAGAGCTATAATGAAGGAGCTTCCCTTGGCCAGAGATGTTATGACATCAAGACAATGAGAAGACCTTAACGATGATCCACTTTTACTTAATAAATAGTAAATACATTTTCTCTTCCTTGTGACTTTCTCAATCTAATAACATTTTTATCTCTAGTTTACTTTATTGTACGATTATAGTATTTAATATATATAACACACGTAACGTGTATTACTCCACAGTTTATCTTATCAGTAAGGTCAAAGGTGAGCTGTTAGTAAGTTTCTGGGCAGCCAAAGTTAAATGTAAATTTTTTACTGTGCAGGAGGTCAGTGCTCCAACTCTCAGCCCTTAACGTTCAAATGACAACTGTACTTCTGGTCGTTCTATACATAATCACCAAAACATGGAAACTGCCAAATTTCAAATTTCTTTCAGTTCAAGAATGAATAAATAAACTCTGATGGGGGAAAGGAACAAACTATTGACACATGCAATAACTTGGATGAATTTCAGGGGTATTATGCTAAGTAAAAGAAGCCTTTTTCAAGAAGTCAAATAATGTATGATTCCATTTACATAACATTCTCCAACAGAAAAATAACTATATGAGAACATACCACTATTTGATAATAATCCCAGAGGTAACATAACTAATAATCCCAGAGGTAATTTGGGATTATTAGTTGGGAGAAGGAGGGTGTGACTGCAAATAAACAGAATGAGGGAGATTTTTGGAATGTTGAACTGTTCTACATGTGATTGTGATCGAGGTTACACAAATCTATACATATGATCGTACATGTAATTGTACAAAATATTCCATTTTGCTTTAGGATGATTTGAAAAAACAAAATAAATGTGTTAAGATATTTTCTGAGAAAATATACAGACAAGATAAGGAGCTGAAACAGGAAATTGACTTCGAACGCTGCCTGGAGAATCACCAGCTGCAAAACTGTATGGGGCAAATTTCTCATAAGAGTATAGAGGATGTGACACTGTTCTGAGTTCATACTCATGATGCTATGATGAAGTGGAAACCAGAAAGACCTGATTATGGTGCATGGGAAAGAGGGGCACCTCGAAAAACTTATGACTTGTGATGTCACTATTGTGTATTTCTGAAATGATGCATATACCCTTCACTGAGACTGGAGAGTAGCTATACATAACTGCTCACAGCCAAGGCTGATATGAATCACATTAGTTTACATTTCATCTTTCAATAGGATATTTCTCCCAATCATGCTTAATTAAATTTATGGGTCTGTTCTCCAGACAATTGTCACAATAAACTGGTATTGCAGAGGAGCTAAAAACAATATTTTTCATTGACCATCCTTTCCTAAAATGTCACTGAGATTCTGACAACAGGAAGATCAGGCTAGGATGCATTAAACACCAGATTTTTACAGAATAAGTTTGCTTGAGATAAGTGCTTTAGAAATTGATAATTTAGTTTTATTGTCTACATTTGGTGTAAGATGTAGAGCTGGTATTGCCATAAATTTGCCAGTTATAAATAACCTTTTAGTAAATCATAAAAACTGAACTTTAAAAATGGGACCTATGAATTTCAGAGTTAAATTAACTGAACCTCAATGATTCTGAGGCAGGAAGATATCCATGGCTAAGGCAACCCTATCTCTCCCAACATTTCTGATTCTTGATGAGACTAAGCAAATTGCATATTGGGAAGAAAAGATTTTAAACAGTATTTCCTTGATTTTTTAACCAATAAGGCCAAGAAATTTAACTTTAATTTTTTCTTTGTAATTTAATAATGGGAGATAAGTTATACTGTTGGACTTTTGAACAGTCATACTTTGATGATTTTTTTTGAGGATTTTTATATTGTAACTTGAGCTTTGGTCTTTACTGAGTTCTTTTTTTCATTGCATTTTAGGTTTCGGGGTGAGCAGCATGAAGAGACACAGCATAAGTTAAAATAATAAAGTGATGTTTCAGTAAGGGCCACAGTGAATCTGGAGTTAATTTACTTAATTTCTAACACATTTCAGAGTTTTCTGAAATTATTTTAAGCATAAATATGTTTTTACAAATTGTCAGACATGCTACATTATATATTTAATCATAATACAAACTTCATTTCATTTTATAAAATAATAATATAATGTCAGGTTCAAAACAATAAGTCAATTATCTATTTATCAAATTCTAAAAGCAATGAAGGCCACATAGCTGTTGATAAGCACCACTCAAAATCAGTCATTTGACAAAAGAAAACAGAGGATTTATCTATATTTAAATGAAAGAAGCTGTTACAAAACTATCTTTCCCCAAATTATTGTTTAGTATCTCATGTTTCTTGTCACAATATTCAATTACCAGATATTTTTTCATATGTATTCTCGTCTCCAGCAGGATAAACTAATATGATATCTTCAGAAGTCTTCCTTTTATTCTTTGGAGAAGCTTAAAGAAATATAATAAAATATTTATTTTTAATAATGATGACAGAATTACCCAAGATAGACTACTTATCCTTTTATGCCCAAGAAGAGCTGAACTATATGCTAATCTGTATGTGGGATTGTGAGAGAAACTGGAGAAGATAGAGAGATGTGAAATGGGAGGAAAGACAATTCCTGAAATATTATCCCTTCATATTAAAAGATACCCCTGGAGGGATAAATTTTTTCTTTGGCAGAAAGGAAAATCTGCACCAGGGCTCAACTGAAACTTGTCATTTTCCATCAGGGTACATACCAACATGTGACTGGGCTGAAAACTCAGCAGTCCACAGTGACTAATGTAATTCTTGGATATGCCTTGATGCCTGACAGAGCAAATACACATGTATATTCCCTTCTTTGTGATAAAGACAATTACAATTTTGCTTTTCTAACTATTAAAGTGGCAGAAGGTCCTTACTGCATGTGTGTTCAGGGGGCTGTTATGAGAGATGTTAAATGTAAGAGTGATCTGTTTCCACATTCACAGATCACTGAGCAGATTCTTCTGATATTTTCTTTCTTTTATTTTCTCGGTCCCACTAAAAGTTGTCTATTTGTTGGAAGGTAACAACATTACTATAGTAGTATAATTTAATTTAATTTATGCCATGGATATTCGTTCTATTCTGTCACTTTGATAAAATAAACTAAACTCATTTATATACTACTTCTTCTTCAACAGTGTATTTAAATAACAAGTGTTTAAGCTATTTTAAATTCTTCCTACTATATGAGAAAGTTAATGAAGATGTAATAAATTGTATAGTTACTAAAGTGGTTTCATATCTGAGGAATGATATTGCTGTCATTGCCTCAATGAAGTAAATAGATTTAGTTAATCCATTTAGTAAACATGTACTTAGTGTATATGCTTTTCATGGTGTTCTGTTAAATACAAACATGAGAGTTAACTATTATAAATGATTAAGACAGTGGGAAGTATGTAATATGTAAATTAAAAGTGGTAAATACTACTTCAGAGATTCATAGAAGAGGGGCCTTCCAGTTAGGGTATCAAAATTGACTTTTTGGCGTATAATTTACAGTAGGGCTTAAGAAAATGTAGGATTTTGATAAGTGGATACAGTAATCAGGTCATTCTAAATTGAGAAAATTGGATACAGAGAGGCAGAGAAGCAGGAAAGGTAACATGTGTTTTAGGAATGACCAGTAGTCTAATTTGACTAAATAACAAAATAAATTAAGTTCTTACTATATGCTAGAATTTTTACACTCTTTATAGGAATTATTTAGGAGTATTATCTTTGTTTTCAGATAATGAAACTGGCTTAGGGAGTTTAAGTAATTTGCCCAAGCCATTACATTGATCGAAAATGATAAAACAGGATTGGACTTCTACAGTCAAGCACCGGAGTCTTTTCATATCACTACTAGATTATAGCTGCCATCTTCAAGGATGTAGTGTAAAACAAAGTTAAAAGTTAGGTAAGTACTGAACTTTGGATGCTGATAAATGCTTGCTGAAACAGTCAGAGCTTTATTTAATAGGTAATAGTTTTAACAGTGGAGGAAGAAACCATCAGAACAGAGTTTTAAGCGTAACAAGCAACAGTATAAAATGGATCTGAGGCAGGTTAAAAAAAAGTCAACAGAGGCTAGTTGGTAATCTACTGCAGTGACACAGGAAAGCTCTGACCTCTAAATGGGATTCATGGGATACTATGATGAAGCTGCATGGAAAATAATCAGTTTCTTTCCCTATACTACACGATCAAAGATAGTTAAATCAAGTCTACAGTTCTGCATTCTTGCCATAAAATTGTAGCTAATATTAGAAGAGAAAATCCATTTAATTTCATAATGTTATAAATAAAGGAAGCTGGTAGAGACGGCATAGCAAAGCCATTTCTCCTTACTTAATTGGTTCTTTCTTCATTTATTTGTTCATTATTTTTTCCCTAATTCTCTACCTTCACCCTTTCTTACTGGTTGGCAGTATAATAGAACACCATGTTGCTATATAAGAGCAGTTATCTTACAAGTTTGTATCATTTCAGTAGTTATTTTAAATATAGGGAGGTTGGTTAGAACTACAGTACAGGCAAGCCAGTACAGGCAAGCCTCTCCTGAGCCAATTGATAAGATTGTTATAATTGTTACATATATGCCTACTTTTCAATTTGAATTGTAATATAGAAATGCCTAGAACAGTGTCTGGCACAAAGGGAGTAACAAGTGTAAATACACAGAGTATTATAAAAGGATATTTAGGTAGATAAGCATTTCCTACTTTGCTACATCATCTTTTAATGTTCTCACATTCACCATGTGTTGTTCCATCTTGACCTTTGTACTTCAATGTATTTTTCCCCATATATTCTTTAAAGCCAGTATCTTGCATTTTTTGTAAATGATAAGCCATGTTTTTTCTCTAGAAGTTCTTGTTTCTACAATATTAAAGAAAATATATTGGTCAATATTAACTTGTCATTAGAAATGTAAAACTATTTAAAATGTGACAATATGTTAGAAATGGATTATCAGTCTTGTCTTGACTTGTAACGTTAAAAAAATAAGAGAATAATAAAGGGTAAATTTCCATTGTGACCAAACACAAAGAATACATTTAATACACATGCAATTTACCTCTCTACACATCATCAGAGAACTAATCCAGTTTTTGATCAGACACAGTATCGTATCCATGGCTGCCCTGGTAAGTTAAAGTAATTTCTTAATGATCTTTAATTGGAAGATTCCTGAGGGCTTACCCAAATATCACTCAGGTCTACCAGACATAAACATAATATAGTACATAAAATGTGATTTCCCTTTGTGAGTATCTGGGCTACTGTTGAATGTACTAGAAAGAAGATAAATGCATATAGAAAAAAAAAACCCCAGAGATTCTCAGAGGGTTCTTGCAATATTTAGCAAGAAATAAATGAGCACATGTAAGACAACTACCCAAGACTACAGTAAAGACCTGCCTAAAGGACTGGGGAAACAGTCACTGGAACCTACCTAGGTGTAGAAAACATGCCTATTCCCACTAGAAATATTTCACTGTAAAGCTACACTGGGAAAACTTCATGAATCATAAGGCTTTGAGTAGAGAACTAAGATGGATCTTAACTCAGTAGCAGGGAATAACTAGCCCCAGATTAAACATGGCTCTGGCCCCACCAGCAAATCATAAAAGGCAAGACCTGTACAATCAAATTGTTTCCAAATAAATTATCTACATCCAAAAATTCTAAATAATATTTATAAGAACATAAAAATATTCAGTGAACAAAGTAAAATTTATGTCTGGCATCCAATCAAAGAACACTAGGTATAAAGAAACAGGGGAATATGACTTATAAAATAAGCAGATCAATCAACTGAATTGACTCAAAACTGACACAAATGAAACAATACAGTCAATATAATTGCAATTTGTATGTAAACGAAGTGAAGAAGAGATATGGAAGATATAAAAAGGTCCAAAGGCAGTTTCAAATATGTGAGACGAGCAATACAATGGATGTATTAATGGTGGAGTAGACATTCCAAAAGATTAGATAATGTGAATTCAGCAACAGAAACCATCCAAAAGAAAACACAGAAGGGTGAATAAATGAAAAAGTTTCAGTGAGATATGGGACAACTTCAAGCAGCCTAATATATACCTGAAGAGAGGAGAGAGAAGATAAAATTAATATTTGATAATAATGACCTACAATGTTTTAAATTTGATGAAAACCATAAAGACACAAGTAGAAGAAGCCCAAAATACCAACGCATAGGAAATAAGAAAAATTTCACCAAGGCATAACAATCAAATTTCTCAAAATTACTGATAAAAAGAAAATTTTTAAATTTCCTAGAAAAGCAAATTATGTTACACAGAGAAAAATAAAGTTTAAAGACAGTAGATTTTCCTTGGAACCAATGTAGAGAAGAAAGTGAAACACCATCTTTAAAGTACTAAAATAAAAAAATAGGCAATGGTGAATTCTATACCTAGTTGACATAACCAATATATACTCAAAGAAAAGTTTTCAAAAATAAGGGTAAAGTCTTTTGCAGACATAAAAAAGTAAGTTGCAGCAGGAACAATGTTAAAGGAAGCCCTTCAGATAGAAGAAAAAAATGATAGCAGATGAAAATATGGGTATACAAAAAAAAGAATAAAGAGCATAAAAAATTTAAGTATATGGCCAAATATAATATGTGATTTATTTACATCATGATAAAAGATAAATACTTATTTAAATAAACTTGACAATGTAGTGTGGGATTTATTACATATATGATTATAAATAAAATAAATGACCAGAATAGCATAAAGGCCAAATGGAAAAAAATAAAGCATAATATTACAATGTTCTTATATGTGAAATAGTATAATATAGTATAATCACTCTTTACAATGTAGTCTAATAAGTTAAAGATATATACTATAATCCTTAAACCAAATGGTAAATTTTAAACAAAGAAACAATATATAAAATACATACAAAAGGATCATTAAAAATCCAAAGAAAAAGGCAGAAAATGCAGAAAAGAACACAGATGAGACAAATGGAAAACAAAGAATGAGATGACAGTTAGTAAACTCTCATGTTAATAATCATACTAAGTGTAAATGCTACAAAGACCTAGATTACATGCAGTTTTTGGATTTCATGTGAAAACAAAGCCTATCTATATGAGTAGTAACCACACACACACACACACACACACACACACACAAAGAGAGAGAGAGAGAAAGAGAGAGACAAATAAAGACATATATTTGGTCTTAAAAGTAAAACACAAGAAAACAATATGCCTTGCTAACAGTAATCAAAATAAGGCTGAAGTGGCGATATTAATATTACATGAAATATTAGAGCAAAAATTGATACCAGAAAATATTTTCATAATAATAAAAACAATCAAATCACCAATAGACATAACAATTCTAATAATTTTCACATGATACTGAGCTTCAAATAAATAAAACAAAAACTGAAATACTAGCCAAATCCAAAAATATAGTTAGAATTTCAATAACTCTTTATCTCAATAATTGAGAGAACAAGTAGACAGAAATTGAGCTAGGATTTAGATTTGAACAACTCTGTCAATGAACTTGATATCTAGAGAACAGTTATAAAATCCTTCACCCAACTACAGTAGAAATAAAATATTTTTCAAGTATACATTTGTGATTTACCCAAAAATGTAATTTGTGATGATAAAATAAATCTAAATATATTTTAAAAGATTTGGGAACTAAAACTCTGTTATTTGACCAAAATAAAAGTAAATTTGAAATCAATAGCAGAAAAATCTTGGATACATTCCAAATATTTAGAAGCTAAATGACACAATTCTAAATAACCAATGATTCAAAGATAAAATTAAAAGATAAAGTATTTTGAATTAAATAAGTATAAAAACATAGCATTTCAAAATGGGGACTCTTGATAGACTAGTGTTAGGAAAATTTAGACAGTACTCAATTTCTATACTAGGAAAGAAGAAAGGTCTTCAATTAATGCCTTCCACCTAAAGTGAGAAAGCTATTTAACAAAAAATAAGTATATAACAAAGATCAGAACAGAAATTGAAAAAATAGAAAGAAAAGAGACAAATTTATTAAAACTAAAAGCTTACAGTTTGAGAAAATCAGAAAATGATAAATAAGAAGAAAAAGAAAAAGCAACTCTAGTTGGGACTACCAAGGAGAAAAGAAGTTACCATATCAGTAAGGTGAGCGGGTGACATCACCAGGGTCTAGAGATACTCAAAGGATAACAAAGGAATGTTATAAACAACTTTGTCAATAAATCCCACAATTCAGATGATATAAAAAATAAACAGTACCAATTCTAAAATATATGAGCCTAGCATTGCCCTGATACCAAAATCAGGAAAGGGTAGTGTAAGAAAACTACATTTTGCACTAACATCTCTAGTACAAAAGTCTAAACAAAATTTTGGCAAATATAATAAAACTATTTGTAAAAATGATAATACAATCGTACCAAGTGTATTGGTTTCGTGACCGTTTGTTCAGGATTCATTTAACATTTAAAATCAGTTTATGTTATCTACTATGCAATGAGCCACAAAAGAAAACTTACATGTGAATTTAATAAAACCACAGAAGAAAATGTTTGACAAAATCTTATATTCATTTCTGATAGAAATGTTCAGCAAATATAAGAAAATTTCCTCAAGCTGATGAATGACATCTGTAGAAAACCCACAGCTAATCCTATAATAGTGACAGAGTTAACACTTTCCTCTTGAGATCAAGAACAAACAGAGAACTATCAAACAAATCACCAATCAAAAACAGCTCGTATGTCTGCTTCTATACTGAAGGTTGTAGGCAGTGAGATCAAGCAAGAAAAAATAAATGAAAGATACTCACATGGGAAGAAATAAAACTCCCTTTATTCACAGAAATGATCATCTATGTAGACTATTAATTGGCATGTAGAAAACAGTACTACTAGAACTGACTATGATTTTAACAACGCAGGATACAGGAGGAATACACGTACATCAGATGTTTTTCTATATATTAGCATTAAGTATTCAAAATTTGAAATGTAAAAAATATGTTACAATAGCATAAACTGTATGAAATACCTAGGGATGAATCTATGAAAAGATCTATAAGAACAGTACAGTGCAAACTACATAGCCCTGTTAAGAGAGATTAAGTAGACCTAAATAAATGAAGAGACGTGGTTTTTGAGTTGAAAGACTCGATATTATTAAGAGGTAAATTGTGCCCAAACTGACCTATAGAGTTAATGCAAATCCAATAAAATAAATCTCAGCAAGACATTTTGTTAGAAATTAATAAGCTGATGCTAAAATTAGTATGGAAATACAAAGGATTTGAGATTAACTAAAACAACTGAAATAAGAAAAACAAATGTGTAAGGCTAGCACTACACATTGAAAGAATTATTAAAGGTACAATAATCAAACAAATAGGTCAAAGAATAGAGGAGAGTCCAAAAATAGGGCCATACAAATAACTTTTGATGAAGATATTAAGAGCAAAATCTGAACTATAAGACATAATTTGCAGTGAAAACATTATGTCAAATCTGAAAATCATAAGACATAAAAATATTAAGAAACACGACTCAGATTCCTGTCATTTCTCAAAGCATCTCCGTCGCGAACATGGCTCGGCCACCCTTTTTCGGCCAGGGTCGCCCAGGCCCACTGCCCCCGCAGCCGCCTCCTCCGGCTCCCTCCGCCTGTCCGCCACAGCCGCTGCCCTCCCAGGCTTTCCCACCGCCTCTCCCCCAGCGGCCCGGCCCTTTTCCGGGGGCCTCCGCCCCCTTTCTTCAGCCTCCGCGGAAGCCTCCCGCGGAAGGGGGCGGCGGCGGCGGCGCCTTCTACCCGGTGCCACCACCGCCGCTGCCTCCGCCGCCGCCCCAGTGCCGGCCCTTCCCGGGGACCGACGCCGGCGAGCTGCCGGCTGCCGCCTCCCGGCCCGGGGCCGCCCTGGAGCCCGCGCTGGCCTGAGACGCCGCCGCCCGCCGACATGCTTGGGGATGCGGCCCTCCAGCGCCTGCGCGACCGGCAGTGGCTGGAGGCGGTGTTCTGGACCCCGCGGGGACTGGCTGTCCGGTTCCCCAGCGCACGCATGCCGGGCCCAGTCTTGACGAAGTGCGCGCGCGATTGCGCGGGGCTCTGCGCCT